CTGGAGCATTTATGACATTGACAAATATTTCCAACAATAGGGAGAGAGGTTTGTCCCTCTCTGAACATTTCTATAAGTTATTGTTTAACGAAACATTAAAGTTATTTATTTTTGTATTTTTTGTTGTTGTTGTTGCTAATGTTATGTATTGAAGCACTACCATATAAAACAGATTTGAAATTGAATCCATGATTTTGCATATATGATACATTTTTCCATATTAAATCGAGACATAGTAAACTAAGTAAACAAAAGTCAAGTTTATTTGTAGTTTGATTTGAAATGCATGCACAGTATGTTCTTTCAGGTTTGTCGCATCATTTTGAAAATGTGTCAGGTTTCATTAAAATATATTTAAAAAAGGTTGTAAATTGTGGAAGGTGTTAATGAGAGGAATTAAAGAAAAAAATTAAATAATTTAAAAATAAATATTATTTCAGATTTCTAAGTAACTGTGCATGGCTGTTAATAATCTGTTTTTAAAGATGTGAAATTGTTTTTTTTTTTTTTCTAACAGTGTTGATGTTTTCACACTGTTGCGGTAATGAGATTTTTTAGGACTTGTTTTGGAAATCATGCTCAAAAAGTAAATGTTTTTAAATTAATATTCACAAATTCTCCAGACTTGGTTTCTAATGTCTGATTTGTTTTTTTGTTAAAGCATTTTTTAATTTTCATGTTTGAAATTTTTAAAACCAAGATTTCGTGAGAATCGCGAGATCCCCTTACGTGGTCTCAATGTCTCCTGTCCTTTCTTAACCGTCAACCTGTGAAGTGTATGTCAACAGTGATTTGGAGCAGCATCACGGCTATGGCAAGCCGTTTTAGCTTAAATTGTACCCAGCCTTACTCGTCGGAATTGCATTTTTACTAGTAACAATTCAATTAGAGAGCTCTACAATTCAATTATTACTAGTAAGAATGACAATTAGAGAGCTCTCTAATTTAATTATTACTAGTAAGAATTACATTCAGAGAGCTCTCTAATTCGATTATTACTAGTAACAATTGCAATTAGAGAGCTCTACAAATTAATTTTTACTAGTCATATATGGCAAGCCGTTTTAGCCTAAATTGTACCCAGCCTTACTCGTCAGAATTGCATTTTTACTAGTAACAATTCAATTAGAGAGCTCTACAATTCAATTCTTACTAGTAAGAATTACAATTAGAGAGCTCTCTAATTTAATTGTTACTAGTGAGAATTAGAATTCAGAGAGCTCTCTAATTCAATTATTACTAGTAAGAATTGCAATTACAGAGCTCTCTAATTCAATTCTTACTAGTAACAATTGCAATTAGAGAGCTCTACAAATGAATTTTTACTAGTCATATGTCTCCATTGACTTCCATTCATTTTTAATTAGAGAGCTCTACAATTGAATTGTTACTAGTAAGAATTACAATTAGAGAGTTCTACAATTGAATTGTTACTAGTAAGAATAACAATTAGAGAGCTCTCTAATTCAATTATTACTAGTAAGAATTACAATTAGAGAGCTCTCTAATCCAATTGTTACTAGTAACAATTATAATTAGAGAGCTCTCTAATTCAGTTTTTACTAGTAAGAATGCAATTGCAGAGCTCTCTAATTTAATTTTTACTAGTAAAAAAAAAACGAATTAAAGATATGCATAATTGCAGAGCTCTGTAACTGAATGAAAGAGCTCTGTAATTGCATTCTTACTAGTAAAAAGTGAATTAGAGAGTTCTCTAATTATAATTGTTACTAGTAAGAATTGAATTAGAGAGCTCTCTAGTTGGAATTGTTACTTGTAAGAATTGAATTGGAGAGCTCTGTAATTGCATTCTTACTAGTAACAATTCAATTTGAGAGCTCTCTAATTGAATTAAAGAGCTCTGCAATTGAGTTGTTACTAGTAAGAATTGAATTAGAGAGCTCAATAATATTAATTCTTACTAGTAACAATTGCATTAGAGAGCTCTCTAAATGAATTGCTACTAGTAAGAATCCAATTGAAGAGCTCTTTAATTCAATTCAAGAGCTCTCTAATTGTAATTGCTACTAGTAAGAATTGAATTTTTACTAGTAACAATTGCATCAAAGAGCTCTCGAATTGAATTCCAGAGCTCTGCAATTGCATTCTTACTAGTAAGAATTGAATTGTAGAGCTCTCTAAATCAGTTTTTACTAGTAACAATTGCATTAAAGAGCTCTCTTAATGTAATTCTTACTAGTAAAAAGTGATTTAGAGAGCTCTGAAATTGTATTTTCACTAGTACGAATTGAGTTATAGAGCTCTCTAATTGTAACTGCTACTAGTAAGAATTGCATTAAAGAGCTCTCGAATTGAATTCCAAAGCTCTGCAATTGCATTCTTGCTAGTAAGAGTTGAATTGTAGAGCTCTCTAAATCAGTCTTTACTAGTAATCTCACTAGTAAAAACTGATTTAGAGAGCTCTCTAATGTAATTCTTACTAGTACACTGTAAAAAATTTCCTGTAGAATTTACAGGAATTTACTGGCAAAAAAGTTGCCAATAAAATCCTGTAAAAATGTTGGACATTGCTGTAAAATTGATTACAGTGTAATACTGTAAAGCAATTTACAGTTAATTGTTGTATATGAAATTTATAGGTATACAGTAATTTATAGGGTTTTTTTTACAGTAACATTGAATTAAACCTGTATTTTATTTTACAGCAATATTTTGTAATTTCACTAAAGTACAGTATTTACCTGGCAATAAAGTTGCCAATAAAATCCTGTAAATACCCCCAAAATTCAAGTAGATGCTGTAATAGTTTAACATTTAAAAAGCTGAAAAGAATCATTTTAACAGTAAACTGTACTCTATTATTTACCATTATATTGATGTAGATGCATTACAATAAACATTTAAAAAAACAAACACAAAGTCAAAGCTGTTGTAGAAAAATATTTATTAAAATAATCAGCAAATTAGTACAAGACTGGTAACAACAATTGTACTTTTTCAAGTACAGAAAATCTTTTCAAAATCAGTCACAAAATAACTACAAATAAGGCTTAACACCAAGATACTGGGTTCAATAAAAGTTAAAGGGATAGTTCATCCAAAAATGAAAATTCTGTCATCATACTCACCCTCAAGTTGTTCCAAATCTGTACGAGTTTCTTTCTTTGTTGAACACAAAAGAATTTTGGTAACCAGACAATTGAAAGTAAATGGCTACCACCAACTGTTTGATTACCAACATTCTTCAAAATATCTAAGTTCAGCAGAAGAAAGAAACTCATACAGGTTTTTTAACAACACGGGGGTGAGGAAATGGTGAATGATTTTCCATTTTTGGGTGATAGTTCACTTTGAAATTAATTTTTGATATGTTTTATCTTACCTCAAGGGGATCCAAGATGTAGGTGTCTTTGTTTCCACAGCATTTTCAATTTTGACATTTTTTGGTCAAACCGTTGTTGTCTGTCAGTCATACACTGGAGGCCAAGGGGGTCCACCAAAGAGCAGCGCAGAAGTCCAAATTAAACATGATTTAATGACTCGTAAATGCAAGTACACGTTGATGGCCTAAGACACGAAACGAGCGGTTTGTGTGAGAAAACGAACAGGATTTATATAGTTTTTACCTCTTGTAATCATAGCCATGACAAAATGATCTGCCGGCACGGGCGCTTCGGTCTGCGCATGCGCTGGAAGTGATCGCTTGCGCGCCTACGTCACTCTTTGTTTATACCATAGACGGTAAAAGAAATGGACGGAGCAATCTCATCGGAACTCCATTGAGACGATTGAAGCCCGTTTTTGGCGATTTGTTAGCACTTCCGTCCCTGACGCGCAGACTCAAACAGAGCTCGACGACGTAGATGTGACGAGAGCAAACCGTCTGTCTTCTAGTGCAGTGGCGTGTGAAATCTGAATCATTCCCTTCCGATACATGCAGAGGCGGAGAGTGTGAATAGGAGCTGTCCATGAGCGAGGAGCAGGAGACACTTTTGCTAGGTATTCTGATTAATTTTTTTGTCATTTTGCCTCCACGTTTCCCCGATTGCGCGCGACCTTCTCCTCCTGTACGTACGGTAATCTCTTTCCTGTGCGACAGAGAGTTGCGTGGGTATGACACAATCGTTAGCCTACTTTCACTAAAACTGCATCTACGGGGCCATAACATAAGCTACAAGGTAATGGAGCTATTTATGCATTGTCGTGTTTCTTTAGAAATAAGTAAAGGACAAATGGGGTCTTCAAACGCCTCAGATGTAAAGTTATTCGCTGTCAAAGTGACGCCAACACGAATGGGAGTCAATGGGAATGCTAACGCAAGTGAAGTTCTGCTTTTATACAGAGATTTGGGAAGTTTTACCTTTCACTAAACATATTTAGATATACGGGAAACCGCAATGGAAGATGATTTCGGTATATCTAAATATGTTTAGTAAAAGGTAAAACTTCCGAAATCTCCGTGTAAACATTGAGCGACGTCACACGCAAGCGATCACTTCCGGCGTAACATTGAACTGATTCAGTTCGGTTCAGTTGGACATTGAACAACTGATTCAGGTCACTTGGACGTCACTGTGGTTACACGAGGTAAAAACGATATGAATACTGTTCGTTTTCTCACAAAAACAGCTCGTTTCGGGTCTCAGGCCATCAACGTGTACTTACATTTACGAGTCATTAAATCATGTTTAATTTTGACTTCTCTGTGCATGCTCTTTGGTGGACCCCCTTAGCCTCCAGTGTATGACTGACGGACAACAACGGTTTGACTGAAAAATGTCAAAATTGAAAATACTGTGGAAACAAAGACACCTACATCTTGGATGCCCTTGAGGTAAGATCAAACATATCAAAAATTAATTTCAAAGTGAACTATCCCTTTAAGCTCAAACAACTGAATGGCAAAATTGTTAACTCGCATCTCTTGTTAACACTCAAATTTCTGCTTTTCTATTATTATTACTATTATTTTTGTTTCAAAGTACTTTTTTACATTTTGTGTAATTGTAGACATCTCAGTTTTTTGTTTCATATATACATTTGACAACTCACATGCTTAACCACTCAAGGTCCACAGGGTAGCCTAATGAGAAGAGTAGACACATGAGGATTGACTGTGTTGTTCCTCTTCTCTGAGGTCTTTCCACTTTCATTGATGTTCTTGGTAAACATCTGCTCAAAAATCAGTCATAAAAATGCAAGCAGAAGCTTTAGGATCATGTGCAGACTTATGAAAATATACCACTTTACAATAAGCATTTCTGTAATTAATTACTCGTTAATCTGTCACTACTGACCTTCATTCGTTTTCAGGAACACACATTAAGATGTGTTTGATGAAATCAGAGAGGTACCTGAACCACACATAGACCACAACGTCATTACAACGTCCGGGGCCCAGAAAGGTAGTGAAAACCTCATTAAAGTAGTCCATGTAACTTCAGTGGATCAACCTCAATGTTATGAAGTGATGAGAATACTTTTTGTTCTAACGTAGAACCTGGAAGCGATGCACTGAGATTGACACAGAAGAAAAGAGATTTTGTGGTTGATCCAGTGTAGTCACGTGGTATATTTTAACATTGTCTTAACTGCTTTTCTGGACCTTGGAAGTTGCAATGATTTTGTGGCCTATGTGTGGTTCAGAAACCCTGTAAGATTTCATCAAAAATATCTTAATTTGTGTTCCGAAAATGAACGAAGGCCAGTAGTTAATTAATGACAGGTGAACTAACATTGATTTTTAGATGAACTAATCCTTTTTAAAGTTGTAGTAAGTTGCAAACAAAGCAGCAAATTCAGCCATGAAATTGGGGTGTTGATTCAGAACCACTTGACCCTCAATACTCAGCATCCACTGGGTTGCAGTGAGAAGTTCACCTAAAAATAAAACAAATGAAGAGAAAAAAGAAAACAGTTTATAAAAATGTATGCTAAAATACAACAGGCAAAATGTATTAAGTAATTTAAAGATTCTGGAAGAGTCTGGGAGTGTAGAACTTTTTTCCACTTCAGCTGCTGTTGCTGACATCTACAATAAAAAAAAATAATAAAAGGAAAAAAAAAAAGTAATGTAATTAAGTGCAGTATATGCAGTAAATGCAGTACAGACAGATTTCCCAGCCCTCATCAATATGGCATTTTAAAATGCCTAATTAAGTAATTCAGAGTTGTACATGCATGTGAAATGACGGTATCCGATCTTGCAAATCAGTGTTGTGTCTGGTCAAATCTAGCACCTTTACGAGACTTCTGATAACCAATTTACAGTGATACATTTCTCATTTAGATTTAGGTTCAAGGTATATTAAGAAAACGATAAATATGGGAACTTTGAACAGAAAATAAAATTAACTTTCAGATCTTTTGCCAGTCATTTTGAATTTAGTTATGACGCAGGGATTTGTTAAACACTGGGTTTACTTGCTCTCAATAATAAATCCAAACTAGTGAAATAAATGATAAAATAGCAGCATCGTGCAACGATGTTAAAATCATATTCTAATGTTTTTCATCAGCAAAGCTAACTGCACGTGCGTATGTACGTTCCGTCTCAACAGCACTTCATGCCTTGTTTTCCAAACTGCAAATGCTCGAAAAAATACTCTCTGGAGAGCATGACGAACAGGCATTGCAAATTGATTTGCGTTAAATAGTTATGATGCAGGCCTTTATTAAACACTGGTTTTACATGCTCTCATACGAAAATCGAAATCAAACGAAATCAAAACTGGTAAAATAAATGAGAAAATAGCAGCATCCAACGATGTTAATAACTCTCACCAAGACTTAAGTGGATCCGATCTGTCGTCTTGCAAACTGCAATGCTCTAAAATACTCTCTTGAGAGCAAATTCAAATAAAACTGTAACAAACGGCAGCATTCGTCCATAACATTCAAGATAGTTTTACCTTGTGCTTGTAAGTTCAGATCGCCTCACCACTGAGCGCGCGCCGTCGCGATTGCCTCGCCTGAAACAAGAAATTTAAAATTAAAGACACATTGCTTTACTAAATAAACGTAACGTTTCGATGGAAAATATAGGAATCGAACACTTTTACATCACACTAAATGTCCTGATAACACGCAGTTGTTAACAAGTCGATCAATAATTGCATGATATAATGACACGCCGATGTTATGAATTCTGTTCAAAATATGAATCGCTCATTAAGTAATACATTAGATTGTAAATATTTATGGACGTAAATTTAAGGTAACTTACCAAAAATTGAGTAAATAGTGCCTTTTATCTTCAACTCGATCCTGCCCTGCTCCAGTCCACCAGATTTCAAATGTATTCAGCCCGCGCAATCCCATAATGCCACGTCACAGTAAATTGTTGTAAAACGTATGAACTACACTGCCCTACAAAGCAAAAAGGCAGTAACTACGCAGAGTGCAGAGCTGAGAAAAATGACTTTTGCTAGGGCTTTTTGCAGTTACTGTACAAACGACTACCATTTTTCACTAAAACGACATGCATTTAAGATAAGATGTTTTGTCACATAACAAAGGTTGGCTTGAATGTCATGAAAATTGTAATAATTAATGCTTTACCAAAACTGCAGTTACTGCCTTTTTGCTTTGTAGGGCAGTACAGTGAAAACACCTCTTACCTGTAAATCAATGTACAGTTGACAGGGAAATATACAGTGAACAACTGTAATACTCATTTTGACCCATAATGCATTGCGAATTACAGTAATAACTGTAGAATTTTTTTACAGTGATATAAGAATCCAATTGCCGAGCTCTGCAATTGTATTTTTACTAGTAAAAATGGAATTAAAGAGCTCTCTAATCGTAATTGCTACAATTGTAAAGCTCTCTAATTGAATTCTTACTGGATAAAAATGCAATAATGCAAAAGGTTTAGAAGCGCAAAATAGACCGAGAAAAGAGAGCGAAATTTGTGTGACGAAAAAGTGTTTGAAATGCACAAAGAAAGATCAAGGTTTTCATAGGTTGGCAATTGGCATGCACTGCAAATAAAAAATGTTTAAAAAGGAACAGTGTTGATTTTCTGTGAAATTTTGGGTAGTCGTCGAATTTGGAACACGCGTCATCGCCATCCTCGTGAAGATCCTTTTGGGAAGCCGTCTTCAGCATTCCAAGGTGGGTTCTTTTCAGCACAATATGTGGAGTGGCTCTTTTTTCCTTTTATTCCACAGAGAGGGTGCCACTGGTTCCTATTTTCCAATTGGATCGTGTTGTAATGGGGTTTTTTTTTTTTAAATTCTGAGTATGTAGCCATTGTAGCCTGCGGTAAATTACAGACCCGCACCCCAAGCTTTCAACACGTAGTTGAAAAAGGAACGTAAAAAAGTACGAAAAAAGGCCAGGGTGCCGAGGGGAACAAATCCCGATTCCTGCCGTACGTGTCGCAGAGATGCGACATTTCTGGGGCAAGCTTTCCTCTGTAGTCGACCTCAAGGTTTTTGTAGGTCGGCACAACGCGGAGCTGCGGACTCCCTTTGGATCGTCACCGGCGAATCACTTCCACCTCGACTGCTGAGCAGATGCAGAAGCGGAGGTGCGCCCGCCGTCAAATGCACTGCCTTGTGCGTTTCTCAGAGATGCTAAATCAGAGTAAGAGAAGACGATACAAGGTAATGCAGCTCCTGCGTGAATAGCCAAAGGTGAAGTGAAGGTCAAAGGTTTGCCTTTGAGGCTTGTGGGGAACAAATCCCGATTCCAGCTGCGTCAGCGTGATCGCGTTGTCGTCTTTGTTCTGTTGCGAACAAAGGATTTTGTGGATTTTCACTCCCGTCCCGTCCCGCTCCCATAGAAAGAAATGTTGTCCCGTCCCACTCCCAGACCAAAGTTTAAAAAAGAATCCCATCCCATGCAGGGCCAATGCATTTAGTTTTGAATGCATCGCTGACGTTATCGGATTTTTCAGTCGAGATTGGCAATCGATTCAGTTGACGGATGCT